GCACAAGACTTTTTAATGGCTTTGTGTGAGGAACAGACTGAACTTTAACTTCACTAAAAATCTATCCTTTCACCGGTCGCAAGTTTAGAGTAAACGGCCAAAATTAGTTTTTATACAGTTATTGAAATGTGTTGTAAGTGCAAATAAGATTTGAGAGCTGCAACATTTAGGGAAATCGTGGCACTTTATTAAGTTTTGAGTAAAGCATTTTTAACACGTTTTCATTTTGTCAACAATTGGTTGTCACATCACTTTTTTTTGTGCTCCGTTTACCCATATGGATTTTCAATGTTACTGTTATATTTATATTTGTATTTATGCATTTATCAAACACTTTTTATTTAAAGTGACTTATAATAGAGGAGCATAAGCAATTAATCACATAGCCAACAGTATTTGCAGGATGCAATGCCACATTTATTAGAAAGCTAGATTAGGAGACAAACTAGAGCAGAGGAGAAATACAGAGAAGAAAAAGAAGAGGATCTTTTATTTATTTATAAATATTTCATATTTATATATTTTTTCTATTTTGTTTATTTGGTGTATTTTTTTTACCAACATTTTTTTATTTTGTGCTTTTTGCTGTTTTACTCGGCGAACAACAATATCAAATGCTGATTCCAGACACATGAACAGATGACAAAAACAAAATGGCACTTTGTCACAGTGTGAGTGTTCAAAATGTTTGCCCCTAGTATACTGAAGTGAACTTATCTCACATCTGTGTTTCAAACCTGGATTTGAAGTCATGACTCATTTATAATCTTTCTTGGGATTAACCAGACATGACTGAAGTGATCAAATCAAGCACACCAGAGTCCATGTTGCCATGCAGTATGGAAGTTTAACTCTTTAATTCCCAGTGCTTTGGGCTTGATGTCGTTTTAGCGGCCTGGTTATACCATTATGTGGGAGGCCCATCTCATCACAAGCTCCGGATGTTGTCACAGGGCTGTAATCCCTCTCTCTCTCTCTCTTCCTGCCGCAGGGACGCACAGCTGTGCGCCCATCAGAGAGGGAAATCTCATTTGAGGATGGAGGTTTATTTTAGTGAGTGATCTAGCTGAGTCATCAAGGAGGATATACAGGGTGTGTCTCAGATGAGTCTGAGTCATCATTTTATAAATTGAGTCGGGAGGGAAAGGAAGCAGTGTCTGTTGATCTTGGATAAAGTGTCTCAAATTTGGTAAAAATGTGACTGATTTTGTGAGCCCAAGAGATACTGAGATTAAGAAATTATGTTTTAGCATTATGTTTAGTATTTTTAAAAAATCAAGTTTTTTGTTTTTTTTTACCCCTTTTTCCCGTTATTTTGAGTTAAATTAGATTAATAGATAATTTGGCAGAATTTTGCGTATTACTTCCATATAAAACCTATCAGATACTTTCTTTTTTTAGTGTGATTTTTCATAATCGTATTCTTTCTCCTGCTGTTTGTGTGTGTGTGTGTGTGTGTGTGTGTGTGTGTGTGTGTGTGTTTGTGTGCCACATGTTTTCTGCTGTCAGAACTGCCTGTTCAAAGTGTAGTAGCCGACGGAAGGCCAGAGTCCTGCGGTAAGAGTCACTAGGTCACTGCCGCTGCTCTGGGGATTTGCTGTGGTTTGTGTGTGTGTGAGCCTCATTCTTTTTCTTTCATGCCCACCGCTCATCAAACTTGACCTGCATTTATTTCTTAGCATGTCTTGGTGTCGGGCTGTACCTTGATGGAATTGGACTTGCTCAAAGACATGTTTAATTGTCAGCGATCTTGAACCGTTTGCATTATGGCCTTGTCCTCACACACAAACCTTAACCTTTCTGCAGTCTCTTTCTAGCTCACTCAGTTTGACTCTTTTCATCTATTCTATCGTGAGTTCATGCCTTTAGTTTGCTTGTAATCTTACTTTACAGCCATCTGTTTGATGTCAGTGAACAGAATGAATGAACAGATGCTCGAAACATTTAGCCAGTTCTTTTGTGGTTAGTTGACCAAGTGCACTCAGCCCAAGTTGTTAACTAAGAATTTATTTTAAATAAACACTTTGTTTTCATAAAGTAGTTTGACAACCAACACAACGTACTAGTTTTATAACATTGGTTCTCATCCATGAACCGGTATAGACACTTATTTTTGTGCTGTGTGAGCATTTTCATGCAAAAATCTGGATTTATTTATTTAAGCTTCTTAAGTTGTCATTTAATTTTTTGTAAATTTGGGTTAAAATTTAGAAGCAACTCTGATTACATGCACACAAAATTATAAATTCATAAATATTGATAACAATCTACATTTAAAATGTATATAATATTATTAATGCAGAATGTTTAAACTTATAAAATGTGTACACTTCCATTCAAAATCATTCTAACATGCTGATTAAAAAAAAAACATTTATTATTAACAATGTTGAAACAGTTGTGACCTTGTTTTTTCCAGGAATCTTTGATGAGTAGAAAGTTCAAAAGCAAATGCATCTAAGTTCAAAAGTTTTTAATGCATCCATGTTGAATAAAATATTGATTTCTTAAAAAAAAAATCTTGAACTGTAGTGTATATTTTACTTTTAAATAAAGTTTACAATGCTCATTTATGCAAGCTACATACATGCAACTCTAAAATATCAGAGACCAATAATTATTGTTTTCTTCTTATTATTGATGATAATATTTTCCAGATACTGTTTTAAACATTGCTTTTGGCTTCAGCACAATGAATAGCAAATTATTTAATTTAAAATAGGCTACTGCTATTTTTCCTCACACAGTATACAATATTTTTCTGCTTTAATCTGGTCAGGTCCTTCACAGGGGAATCAACATATTTGGGTGTCCTTGGCTTAAGAAGAAAATTTGAAATCCCCTTTTCTATGCTACAACTTACAAAAAATGTTGTCTACATTTGAATTACTTATGGAGATAATACTTATTGCTTTCAGGTTGATAGCCTCAAACTGAAACGCATGCATTTACACTGAATACAAGCAGTAAAACAACTAGTCTTAAACAATCTTTCAAATGAGTGATTCTCTTGAATCAGATCTTCTAATAATGCATGAGAATGAGGTAGAATCATTCCAGTCATTCCAACAGTTTCCAGGAGGTTTGAAAGACGCATACATTGAGTTCATCCAGGCCAGATGTCACATCCATAAAGCAATACAATACCAAAGGCAGATCATCTGGTCGTGTTTTATTGAGTGTAATTGTCACAAATTTGGAATGCACCAGTCAATCAAGTTCAATATAATGGCTACACTCAGCCAGAGTGTGTGTGATGTGTGAGGGGGCCTGTTTTTGTGTTAGTAGCACAAATAGAGGAAGATGCGCTTTTGTAGTCATCACACATCAGTGGCTTCTGACATACACCACAGCGTTTCATGGAAACACATTGCAGACTGATCCAGTCTGGTGAGATACTTGTCTGGCATATTCTTGTTCTTCACACAAGCAGCGTCCATGTAAAAACATTAAAAGACACCAGTCTGCAGAGTTGTACAACGTTTTTATGGTGTACATTTGCATTGTCATACCCTGGATGACAGTATGCTTAAACGCAAAAAGATTCTGATTTAAAAAAGAAAAACTGTACTGAATCTTAATTTGTTTAGTTGGTACACAAGTGTTTTGTATCTCGACAGCTCTTTCCAGCTGTAATATGATTCATCTATTTGTGAGGACCATGATTTTTATTATTTTAAACATGCATTTTTAATACTTCAATGCTCATAGTTGAGAGATTTATTCTTATGTGATGATGCCAGGCCTGCACAAATATGCCTGATTGATTGCAGGGTATGTCTTAATTTATCATCTGTGCAAAAGGTCTATTACAAGTATATACTCTTCATAGTATTATATAAGAATATCCCACTTTACAATCATCTTGAAATCAAAATTTACCTCATTTACTTTATCAATACACCTTCGAGATCTTATTGTAAATTGTGATTTAACAGTTTACGTTATTCCTAAGGAAAAAAGGTATTTTTGTAATCTTTCATCGTAATGTAATAACTTGATCTTATTCTGAAACTTCTTTCCTTTTTGGCATCATCAAGACCCTTTTTATTTTTTTTTTATTATTATTAATAATTTTTTGTTAATTCTAGTATTACTACTACTACTACTACTACTACTACTACTACTAATAATAATAATAATAATAATACATTCCTTATTAATATTATTAATAAAAAATGTTGTTGTTGAAAATCTATTAAATTTAGAAATATGTCTGATTACAAAAGTAAAATTGGTTGAGAACACCATTTCTTGTAGACTTTGCTATATACTACATTCTTTTGAATTTCTCCTTGAGCATGTTTATATTGTGGAATGAGGTTTAGTTTAACATATTCTAAAATCTGGGGTCGGTACGATTTTTGACAAATATTTTTAAGTGAAGTGTCTTGTGCTCTCCAAGGCTACATTTATTTGATCAAAAATACAGCAAAACAGTAATATTGTGGGTATTAATATTTAAAATGAATGTTTTATATTTTATTATCTTTTAAAATATTATTTATTCCTGTCATCGCTGTCAAATGATCCTTCAAAAATCATTTTAATATGATGATTTGGTGCTCAAGAAACATCTTATATTATCAATCATTAATTTTTTAGATGTATTTTAAATTAATTTTTTTGTATCTTATTGACCTCTTTTGAACGGTAGTGTATGGTTGAGTAGCTTTCTCAAATTTTCTCACATAGACTTTCTGTAAAGTCACAAGCATACCAGAAAATACACTTTTTTTGCTGTTTATGTAGTTTCTAAAGCTCTTTTATGACTGCTCCAGGCCTTTTAAGAAATCTTTTTTGGTGTGTTTATCTACTGTCTCTCAGCCGTTTGATCTGGTTTTACACACACACACACAAACCACTATACTATATGTGAACACACTCTTCTTTATCCAGCTCCTTGAATGCTACTTACCAAGTCCCCATCCTCTCTTTTGCACCCTCCATAACTTTCCATTGCTTTATCCCCCTCTCTCCCTCTCTTGTCTGTCTCTCAGGGCTTGTGCAGCGTTGTGTTATCATCCAGAAAGATGAGAGTGGCTTTGGGCTGACAGTGAGCGGCGATAACCCTGTGTTTGTACAGCTTGTAAAAGAGGGTAAGAAAGACACTATCCCTGTTGTTCACCATCCTTGTTTTGCCCTCCATAACATGCACATGCAGAACAGTTTCACGAGTGACTTAAACACATACTTGTCTCCTTTAACCACCAAGGCATGGATAATTATCTGGTTGTGTAACACCACAGTACAGTATAATTACGACACTAACAGTGCTAAATACATAGTTGCTTTTCCCGTAACTACAGTGAGGCAGTGAAAATGTGTATTCAAGCTACATGTGACCATCTTTACACTGTACTGTGAGAGTACTACCATGGCACAATGACGGTATCAGATGGTACCGTGGTATCTTTTTTCATTCCATCAGAGTGCATGATCTCTCTTTCTCTTCTTTTGCATGTAGATGGAGCTGCCATGCGAGCTGGTGTTCAGACAGGTGACCGGATCATAAAGGTGAGGATCATCAGGAGCTCCACCGTGATGAAGTTCAGATTTATTAATCAGAGAAGTCGATTTTAATATAAATTGTCGAGATTCAGTTCAAAATGAGCACAATCTGTCTGACCAACCCTAGAAACTGTTACTGGGGCTTGTGTCTTTAAGCCCTGAGGCTACAATACACACTCTCCAGACAGGCTCACCTGATGTGGCAGGATGTCTTGGGTGCTGTGCTCTGCCACCTGCTGGCTGAATGGAGAATTATAGCTCTACATATTTCTCTGGTCCTAATTATGAGTTCGGAAATCATAATTATGGTGTGACGTACACTATCATTCAAAAGTTTTGGGATGGTACGCTTATTTATGTTTTTGAATGAAGTCTCTTATGCTCACCAAGCTGCATTTATTTGCTTAAAAATAGAGAGAAATCAGTAATATTGTGAAATAATTTTTCCAATTAAAATAATTATTTTCCGGTTTAATATATTTTAAAATGTAATGTGTGCTTGTGGTGGCAAAGCTGAATTTTCAGCATCATTACTCCAGTCTTCAGTGTCAGAAGTTAACCAAAGTTTTGAATGATAGTGTACGCTCATATCATATTATAGTTAACTAAAACCATAAAAAAAATGTTGTTACTTGAAGTAATACTTGAATCATTTTCGTTGTTTAACTTGTACTAATTTAACTGAAAATAAAAATAAATAAAACCTATATAGACATATTAAAAAAAGCAATAACTAATAATAAACAAAATTACTAAAACCACAAAGCCACAAATTTTTTTTATAAAATTGGAAAATGCAAAAAATAAAGGCTTATTCAAAATATAAATAAAAAACTATATAGTATCTCAGTGGAACTAAAATAACACTGAAAACAGTGAAATAAGTATTTTTAGCACCATTATTTCTTTGCTAATACAGAAATAGACAGTAACTGGCAATATTGTTCTTAATATTGAGAACCAGCTTTTTAAATCAAAGTTTTATATAAAAATAAATTTGGGCTATTAAGTAAATACAGCACAAACTCAAGACTACTGTAGCATTGTGATTTGTTAAGTAACATCTATGAATTTAAATTAATCAGCGTGTTTAATGTGTGTTTTTTCATGCAGGTCAATGGGACATTAGTTACACACTCAAATCATGTAGAAGTTGTAAAGCTAATAAAATGTAAGTAGCATGAGTCTTTCACTTTAATCATTTTACTGAAGTTGTTCACTTTAAAATGAACAGTACTGTACAGTTGTTGGTGTGTTTGTGTACAGCGGGCTCCTACGTGGCCCTAACAGTGCTGGGGAGACCGCCGGGTTTGCCTCAGATCCCCCTCTCAGACGGCGAGGGGGAGGAGGGGCCTCTCTTCTCGCTCACCTCCCCTCACTCCCCGGGGTCCATCGGTCCAGAGCGCTCATCTTCCTCCCCCAGCCCCTCGGAGCGCAAACCGACCCCTCTGCCTGTATGGGTAAGAGCTCAGATCATTGATAAACAGCCTTGATCTCCCTCAGCCCCATATCATCTGCCTTCTTTCTTTCATAGCACTGTATGCCTTGTACTACAGTAACTCATTATGTGTTTTTCTGGTTGTGTTTGAAGCATCACAGCAGCAAAACGGCAACAGCAGTCACATGCTTTCATACAGGCAGCGTTTTGGACACGTAGGAGGGCTATGGCTCTATACAAAAGTGATTTCTGGGTTACTACATTGAGTATTTCCTTTCATAATGGTTTAAATTATACACTGCTGTTCTAGGTTGGCTTTTTTTTTTATTCAGCACAGACGCTTCAAATTGAGCAAAAGTGACAGAAAAGACATTTATAATGTTGCAAACATTTTCTGTTTCAAACCATTTCTGTTCTCTTTGAATTCTCTTTAAACTTTCATTAGAGCTGCACGTTTCTGGATAAATTGAGAATAAAAGTTTTTTTGTTTAAAATATAGATTGCGATTCTTGCGCAATTCTGAAGAAAATCATGAGAAAAAAAACTATTGATTTACTAGAGGTTCTGACAAAATGTTCATTGCTTCAGTTTAATAAAAATACATTCATTTGGATTAAATAATTAAAAAATAATTTTGAATGAAGCATGTCTCATTTATAAAGTCTTGTTTCGTTAATGAATGAATCAGTGTTTATAAATTAATCTCTTGAGTGAATGATTCAATGACAAATACAAATAATTTTTTTATAGTCGTAACGAGATAATCGATACAATACATACAAGTCTCAAAAGGTAATTTATTCTATTAATAATGATAATATGTGGTTGAAAAGACTGTGAAGCTGTTTCATACTGTACATGAACTTATACATGGCGGCTGCTTGCTTCGGATCAGCAGCAGTCCGAACACAGATTTGAATGTTGCAGTGTTCAAAAGTGTAGTTTTCAAAGTCCCTAAAGTCTTTGGATTAACGCTAGTTTCACAACGAAATGCCAGTGGAGTGTGAGCAGCGCGTTTTGTCGCTGCCCAAGTTAATGAATGAGCGTTCACATCACGGCGTGACAGTAAACTCTCTCTCATTCATGAACATGGACATACAGTGGGGCAAAAAAGTATTTAGTCAGCCACCAATTGTGCAAGTTCTCCCACTTAAAAAGATGAGAGAGGCCTGTAATTTTCATCATAGGTATACCTCAACTATGAGAGACAAAATGAGAAAAAAAATCCAGAAAATCACATTGTAGGATTTTTAAAGAATTTATTTAATTATTTAGCTTTTTGAAGAAATTTATTGTATTAGAAGACTGTGTTGCTGATTAAGTTGCCATGCATTCTTGCCATATTTTCTATAAAGTTTTGAAGTACTTGAAATGCTGCTGCTATGCAGAGTTACTTATAAATACCGCATGCATACTGTGACCTATTAGTATGTGTAAATGCATGCTGTATTTCGCACACATTCAGATTAGAGCCATTGGAAAGTATTGACTTAATTTGCAGAACTGAATCTATTATTGTAGACTGACTCGTGTGTGATTAAGTCTGTCATTGCACTCATACACTTAAGTGTACTTGTATCAACCACGTGATGTTGTGACAGCACTCTCTGAGTGTTCAATCTCACATCCTCTATGACAAGAGATGTGGGAATGATCAGAGCTGCTGTGATGTTTGATAAATTACAGGCCATGACGGAGGAGCACAGCAGGAACCCTACAACTAAACTACTGAAGGAAATCCAGGACGACAAGAAGCACATTCCACAGCACCAGGAGCAGCTCAGCAAGCCCACTGGGACTGGACAGGTACATACTCATACACGCACACACAAACCAACAAACAGGCTGTGATTCAGAGGAATTCTCAGTTCCGAAATGTGATGTAAAAATTGAAACTAAAGGAAAACTTATTGAGTTTGTTCATGTTAAATCATTATCTTTTATATTAAATTAAATTAGTCAGCTAGTTTCCAAGGCAGCATTTCTTAAGTTGAAGTACTATAATAACTAAAACTAAAGTTCTAAAATAAACTAAAATGTTATAAAAAGCTATATGGAAATATGAAAAAATACAAAAACACAACAAAATTACTAAAACTTTGTTAAATAAAACTGAAAATATAAAATAAAATCTAATTTAAAATATTAACAAAAACCACAGTAGTATATCAATAATACTAAAATAACACTGTAGTCCAGTACTACACCGTGTCCTAACAAGACACTATGTAATAATAAGATTCCAAAGACAAGCAATTTGTCCACACTTGAAGCAAAATATCTACAATACGCAACTAAATTAATTACAAATCACAGCCAATCAGAGGAGCATGTGGGTGGGCTCTCTCTCTGCAAGTACATAATCAAATTGCAAAAGAAGAAACCATATTAATATACAAAGAACAAATAGTAACTGAGCTGTCAGCCACATTGCTGCACCAGCATGGCTGACCAAGTCAAACCATTTCAAACATAGAATCCCCTGTCGCTCATTGCATCGCTGTCATGGCTTGTTAAGACAAAAAAATCTAGTTAACATAAAAAAGACACCTTTTTAGAGATTGGTGACACCAAATGCCAATGTTCATAAACATACAGTAGTTTTCTCCTTTTTTTCTGTTTTTAGGAAAGTTGCATGAAGTTTCTGCTTGTTACGTCATCATCAAAACTAGGCAGGAAAATAATAATGCCTGACCTCTGTGGGCTTTTACGATTTTGTTCAAGCACCACAGGTGGTATAGAAATTACACTTCACGTTCTGGCAATATATCATGATGTCATGACAGTGCTAATAAATGTTTGTTTATGTTTGTTGTAGGATGGCTCCTTATCTCCAAGGCCACGAGAAGGAGAGCAGGAGGATGGAGGGGGAGATTTGGATCGGCCCCCTTCCTGGCAGGGCGATGCTGGAATGGTGCCACCATGGACCAACAATACCACAACCCCTGTCAGTACACCTCCTGAGCAGCTGCTCCCCATCAACCTCACCTTCCACATTTCACACATTTGCTTGGATGCTGATTTGTGATTCCTCTGTGTAATTGACATTTGGTGTCAACTGATCCATGCAGGTCACTCCCAGTCCTGTCCCAGAGAGCCCATGCCAAAGAGAGACCCCCTGCCACAGCCCAAAGACCACACCCAGAGACAGCCTCAACTCCTGTCCTTCACCAGACGCTGAAGACACACCTGACCTTGTGAGTGACCTCTTTGACCTCATGCCTTCATTTGTAGTTTCTGTGCTGTGCATAATCTGAATGTTTCTCATTTAGGATTCTCAGTCGAGTGTGGGGAGCCCCTCCTCTCGTCCGGTAGCACACATCATTGGTGCTGAGGATGAAGACTTTGACACAGAGCAGGAACAGGTAGGGGTGACCGTGGCTTGGTTGTAGTCTGTACGTTTATTTCTTCCTCTTAATTTTTTGACTCACAGGCTCTACTTCAAACACTAGTGAGCTGCCTACCTAAGGCCCTGATATACTCACAACAAAGTTCTTTTTTGTGCTTTGCTTAGGGGTGTAAAAAAGTTTGAAATATCTGAGCAGTGGTATACTGCAAGCAAACCTCCCAGCGATGTGGATATGTTGTACAAGTGCAATTTGGCACTCCAGTCAACTTAAGTCATGTCACGTTTAATTATATTGTACTTTATACAATAGATTACTTTAAAGCAAGCAGCTTTACAGCAGGGCTACACAATTAAACAAATTTCTAATCGCAATTACAATTACGGATGTCACAATTACATAATCGTTCAAAGCAGCAATTAATCGTTCAAGTCCACTTATGTTATTCTGCATGCTTAAGATGCTTTTTTTTCTTTCTACATGTTATCTTAAGGGTTTTTCCATTGTTTTAATTTGAGTTTTAGTATAACCAGAGGCGGACAGTAACTAAGTACAATTTACTTGAGTACACTTTTTGAGTATCTGTACTTTACTTGAGTATTATTTTTTCTGGGAACTTATGACTTTAACTTCACTACATTTGAAAGACAAATATTGTACTTTTCACTCCACTACATTTCTATCAAGATCCTCAAAGTAGAAAGTCGTTACTATATAGCAGCTTTGAAAGTCAATAGGTGATTTTTTTTCTTCCCTAAAACGTGACTTTCTTTTTTTCAGACAGTTTATCAGTAATCACTTTTGTGGGGCTACATGAAGTGATTTCCCATCATTTTTTGAACACTGACCAGCTGCAAATGTGATATTTATTTACAACAATTCAATAATAATAAGTTAATATTGTGGTATATATTAGACACAATATTGTCTGATTTTGCTAAATTGTGTACGTGAAAATATTACCTATAAAGCCACAGAAGAACTGTTGTGCATCTCCTAATAAAACACAATAGGTGTTTGACTGAAGCAGCACTGCACAGACTGTTCTGTGTATGACATCAAAGTACAGCGAGAGCGATTAGACAGCATTTAAAAATTTTTGTTTTGATGTCAAATAAGTCTTGCTGTTTTGCTTTTTGTTAAAGCAGTGTTGCTGTTGTAAAGTTATACAGTTACAGTTGTGTTGCTGGGTTTTAAAGCAGGTTTGATTTTTTTTCTTCCTTATCACTCTGTATTTACAGGATTTCACTGTCCACTCTGTTCAAATGTGATTGAATGGCTACACATAGATGTGTGCACACAATGTCAGAGCTGTGTGAGATCACTACCATCCTGCTTTTGTGGGGGTGGGTAGGGGGGTTAAATAATCCCCATAGGTTTTTAACATTCTAAAAGCTCTTTATTCCAAAGATACTGCAAGCTAGTCAGTGTATTCAGTAGGTGTAATGTATTGTAAGTTGCTTCAGAGGTATTGCAAATACTACGTACAACAATAAATCAGTGCATTGACATAAGTACTAAAAGTAAATTTCCTTTAAGTACTTTTAAAAGCAAGTACTTCTGTACTTTTACTTAAGTAAAAATCTGTCTTTACAACTTTTACTTGTAATGGAGTAATATTTGACCAGCAGTATCTGTACTTTTACTCAAGTAATGGAGTTGAGTACTTTGTCCGCCTCTGGCGACTCTACATTTGATTTCATTTTAGAAGGTAGCTGCCTAGGTAGACAGTTGATAAGGAAGCTCACCAGTATTTGGAACAGAGCTCATCGTTTATTCCTGGAAAATAGCAAAAGCTTTTACACATTTACATTCACAAGCCTGCATTTAAGTTTAGCATTAAATCATAAAGTTGAATAGTATGTTAATGCGTACTTGTAAATTAACTTTCTCTGTCTCTAGATGAATGGCCAGTGTAGCTGTTTTCAGAGCATAGACCTCCTGAAATCTCGGCCTGCTCACCTGGCAGCTTTCATCCATCACGTTGTCTCTCAGTTTGACCCTGCGCCACTTGTAAGATCGATTACCCACGAACCTGGAATTTCCAGGCATCTAACAAAATGTTTATAAATTACTTTCCATGTTCCATGAATCTCCCTTGCATGCTTATGGTTGGGTCTCAGACCAGATGAGTCACATCACTCGTTTCCCTTCTCACTCTGCAGCTGTGCTACCTCTATGCTGAACTTTACAAACAGACCAGCTCCAAAGAGACACGGCGAATCCTCATGGATACCTTCTTCATAGACAAAACAGCTGTGAGGAGCTTAAAAACAGTCTTAGCTTGTTTAGCTTGTCATAGATGTTGTGGTCTCTGTTTAAGAGTTGTATTTTGTTTTTAAACAGAGCTTGAAAGTAACAGTGCCCGAATCCATCATCGCTGACCTGGGTAAGTTGAAACTTCTAAATCCTAGGGCTATTATTTAAAATGAAAACAACTAAATATCAGCTGATTAAACCATTTTAACCATCTGATATTTTGTTTTTTACTTTTAAAATAATCTGTATTGGCTGATATTTACTGATTTGTTGGTAAATTTGAAAAACGTCTGATTAACAATATATATATATATATATATATATATATATACAGTGGGTACGGAAAGTATTCAGACCCCTTTACATTTTTCACTCTTTGTTATATTGCAGCCATTTGCTAAAATCATTTAAGTTAATTTTTTTTCCTCATTAATGTACACACAGGACCCCATATTGACAGAAAAACACAGAATTGTTGACATTTTTGCAGATTTATTAAAAAAGAAAAACTGAAATATCACATGGTCCTAAGTATTCAGACCCTTTGCTCAGTATTTAATAGAAGCACCCTTTTGATCTAATACAGCCATGAGTCTTTTTGGGAAAGATGCAACAAGTTTTTCAAACCTTCTCGAGTGCTCAGGACCTCAGACTGGGCCGAAGGTTTATCTTCCAACAAGACAATGACCCTAAGCACACAGCTAAAATAATGAAGGAGTGGCTTCACAACAACTCTGTGACTGTTCTTGAATGGCCCAGCCAGAGCCCTGACTTAAACCCAATTGAGCATCTCTGGAGAGACCTAAAAATGGCTGTCCACCAACGTTTACTATCCAACCTGACAGAACTGGAGAGGCTCTGCAAGGAGGAATGGCAGAGGATCCCTAAATCCAGGTGTGAAAAACTTGTTGCCTCTTTCCCAAAAAGACTCATGGCTGTATTCGATCAAAAGGGTGCTTCTACTAAATACTGAGCAAAGGGTCTGAATACTTAGGACCATGTGATATTTCAGTTTTTCTTTTTTAATAAATCTGCAAAAATGTCAACAATTCTGTGTTTTTCTGTCAATATGGGGTGCTGTGTGTACATTAATGAGGAAAAAAAATTAACTTAAATGATTTTAGCAAATGGCTGTAATATAACAAAGAGTGAAAAATTTAAGGGGGTCTGAATACTTTCCGTACCCACTGTATATATACTGTGCATCTATATTCTTTTAAAAGACACCCATCTCATTTTAGTGACACTATAGCGGAACTTTGCATGACTTTTATAAATATTTGTGTGACCGTAGAACGGACTGCACACTCAATTAATGCAGAAAGGAAGAGGCCGGAGCCCATCTCGGAGGACATCCACCGACAGTATGTGCAGCAGCTGCAGGACACACTTCTACCTGACATCCAGAAGAACCTAGAAGATTTCAGGTGAGATGCACTTATCTAATACACACACAAAATCAGATAAAACCCTCCACACACACTCTACAGCTCCAATGTACCAGCACAAGTGTCCGTCAAATCCACTTTCTCCAGTATGTTCACCCATGTGTTATCTGTATGTCTCAGGCACAAGCGCAGTATGGGTTTGACCCTGGCTGAAGCGGAGCTAGCCCGTCTGGATACAGAGAGAATGAGAGACCGTGTGGCTCTGGAAAAAGAGCGATCCTGTGCAGAGCACATCATGTCTAAGATAGAAGATGTACTGTAAGTGCACATGGCCATTCTGACATAAATGTATGTGAATATACCTGTAGATGATGCCACTTGTTCTCTTGATAGCAGGGCACTACAGTGCGACCATTTCAGTCGCATTTACAACTGAAAACTACTGCGTGCAACTTGAAAAAATATTTAGGTGCATCAGTGCAACTGACCCGATCAGCATATTTGTGTTTGCGCTCAAGGGAGTTTCAAAGGTTTCCACTTGCAACGTGTTTTTGCAACGTTGAGTAATGCATCACAGACATATCTCTTGATTCTTTGAACGCAATGTTAATCAGAATCCACTCACTGCTCAAAACACCAGAGTTTAGTTCAGTGCTCAGTTATGCAAGCTCACAAATCCTTTCATTATAACAAAGTGCAAAATAATGTGTAAAGTTGTGTAGTAAAAAGTGTAAAATAAGATATTCATTGTGCAGTTTAGAGAGCTTTGTTGATCATGTATTAAATGGAACATTGTGAGATTGCGATGAACTAAGGTGACAGCTTTTAATGATTATTTATACAACAGTTCAAGAAGTTAATATTAAGTGACTTGCATTGTTTGAAACAATTTTCGTTGACGAAATAGAGCAAAGTCAGGGAATAGTGTTGTAGTCAGACAAAGTCACAGCTGAGCCGCTGTGCATCTCCAAGCAAACAGCCATCTTTCGTTTATGAATGAACATGCGTTTTTAAACTAATCTATTGAGCCAATGATTCAATTACCTTTTTTTATAAAGACCGTTACTTGCTTTGTTCATGAATGCATCGTGAAGTAAATCATTTAATATTTCTATATTCAAAATGTTATATTTAAAACATTCATCTCAACGTGAATTTATGAATTTAATTGCACTCATGCCACCTCTAAGCCTCATTAAATGACTGTAAATATAACTACATGCCACTTTTGTTCTTCTTTGCCACCTTTGTAGTGCAAAATACTTTTAATATTGATTTCATTTGATCAGTAACTTATTCTTCTTATTCTATTGTTTTAATTAGAAATTTTAAAAAGGCTTATACATTTTTGAATTTGACATAAAAGATGACACTTAATAAAGTTAGAAAAAAATGTCAATGACTTTAAATCTTGCAATACTCTCAGGGTGTCCCACAGGGCTCTGTTCTTGGTCCTCTTCTTTTATATAAATGAATATTTTAAGGTGCATGTACATTTCGCAAGAGACCAGTATGTAAACTGATCAGAATAGCATTCAGAAAGGTAACGGGTGACTCATAACAGTTTGCAAGGGGCCTTCAGAAAGGTAACGGGTGACTCATAACAGTTTGCAATGAATGCTAATATAATGCTGGTGTAAGTACTATATACACTTTTTAATAAAAATAAAAAAGTTCCCAACTGATGAATATAACAAAAATGAAAATAAAGTGGGAACCAAGAGGAAGCATTTACTTTTCTTAGCTGTGTTCACTTCCTCAGAGCATCTATATTCTTTTAAAAGACACCCATCTCATTTTAGTGACACTATAGCGGAACTTTGCATGACTTTTATAAATATTTGTGTGACCGTAGAACGGACTGCACACTCAATTAATGCAGAAAGGAAGAGGCCGGAGCCCATCTCGGAGGACATCCACCGACAGTATGTGCAGCAGCTGCAGGACACACTTCTACCTGACATCCAGAAGAACCTAGAAGATTTCAGGTGAGATGCACTTATCTAATACACACACAAAATCAGATAAAACCCTCCACACACACTCTACAGCTCCAATGTACCAGCACAAGTGTCCGTCAAATCCACTTTCTCCAGTATGTTCACCCATGTGTTATCTGTATGTCTCAGGCACAAGCGCAGTATGGGTTTGACACTGGCTGAAGCGGAGCTAGCCCGTCTGGATACAGAGAGAATGAGAGACCGTGTGGCTCTGGAAAAAGAGCGATCCTGTGCAGAGCACATCATGTCTAAGATAGAAGATGTACTGTAAGTGCACATGGCCATTCTGACATAAATGTATGTGAATATACCTGTAGATGATGCCACTTGTTCTCTTGATAGCAGGGCACTACAGTGCGACCATTTCAGTCGCATTTACAACTGAAAACTACTGCGTGCAACTTGAAAAAATATTTAGGTGCACCAGTGCAACTGACCCGATCAGCATATTTGTGTTTGCGCTCAAGGGAGTTTCAAAGGTTTCCACTTGCAACGTGTGCATCTATATTCTTTTAAAAGACACCCATCTCATTTTAGTGACACTATAGCGGAACTTTGCATGACTTTTATAAATATTTGTGTGACCGTAGAACGGACTGCACACTCAATTAATGCAGAACGGAAGAGGCCGGAGCCCATCTCGGAGGACATCCACCGACAGTATGTGCAGCAGCTGCAAGACACACTTCTACCTGACATCCAGAAGAACCTAGAAGACTTCAGGTGAGATGCACTTATCTAATACACACACAAAATCAGATAAAACCCTCCACACACACTCTACAGCTCCAATGTACCAGCACAAGTGTCCGTCAAATCCACTTTCTCCAGTATGTTCACCCATGTGTTATCTGTATGTCTCAGGCACAAGCGCAGTATGGGTTTGACCCTGGCTGAAGCGGAGCTAGCCCGTCTGGATACAGAGAGAATGAGAGACCGTGTGGCTCTGGAAAAAGAGCGATCCTGTGCAGAGCACATCATGTCTAAGATAGAAGATGTACTGTAAGTGCACATGGCCATTCTGACATAAATGTATGTGAATATACCTGTAGATGATGCCACTTGTTCTCTTGATAGCAGGGCACTACAGTGCGACCATTTCAGTCGCATTTACAACTGAAAACTACTGCGTGCAACTTGAAAAAATATTTAGGTGCACCAGTGCAACTGACCCGATCAGCATATTTGTGTTTGCGCTCAAGGGAGTTTCAAAGGTTTCCACTTGCAACGTGTTTTTGCAACGTTGAGTAATGCATCACAGACATATCTCTTGATTCTTTGAACGCAATGTTAATCAGAATCCACTCACTGCTCAAAACACCAGAGTTTAGTTCAGTGCTCAGTTATGCAAGCTCACAAATCCTTTCATTATAACAAAGTGCAAAATAATGTGTAAAGTTGTGTAGTAAAAAGTGTAAAATAAGATATTCATTGTGCAGTTTAGAGAGCTTTGTTGATCATGTATTAAATGGAACATTGTGAGATTGCGATGAACTAAGGTGACAGCTTTTAATGATTATTTATACAACAGTTCAAGAAGTTAATATTAAGTGACTTGCATTGTTTGAAACAATTTTCGTTGACGAAATAGAGCAAAGTCAGGGAATAGTGTTGTAGTCAGACAAAGTCACAGCTGAGCCGCTGTGCATCTCCAAGCAAACAGCCATCTTTCGTTTATGAATGAACATGCGTTTTTAAACTAATCTATTGAGCCAATGATTCAATTACCTTTTTTTATAAAGACCGTTACTTGCTTTGTTCATGAATGCATCGTGAAGTAAATCATTTAATATTTCTATATTCAAAATGTTATATTTAAAACATTCATCTCAACATGAATTTATGAATTTAATTGCACTCATGCCACCTCTAAGCCTCATTAAATGTCTGTAAATATAACTACATGCCACTTTTGTTCTTCTTTGCCACCTTTGTAGTGCAAAATACTTTTAATATTGATTTCATTTGATCAGTAACTTATTCTTCTTATTCTATTGTTTTAATTAGAAATTTAAAAAAGGCTTATACATTTTTGAATTTGACATAAAAGATGACACTTAATAAAGTTAGAAAAAAATGTCAATGACTTTAAATCTTGCAATACTCTTTAACACAGGGTGTCCCACAGGGCTCTGTTCTTGGTCTTCTTCTTTTATATAAATGAATATTTTTAAGGTGCATGTACATTTCGCAAGAGACCAGTATGTAAACTGATCAGAATAACATTCAGAAAGTTAACGGGTGACTCATAACAGTTTGCAAGGGGCCTTCAGAAAGGTAACGGGTGACTCATAACAGTTTGCAATAAATGCTAATATAATGCTGGTGTAAGTACTATATACACTTTTTAATAAAAATAAAAAAGTTCCCAACTGATGAATATAACAAAAATGAAAATAAAGTGGGAACCAAGAGGAAGCATTTACTTATAGTCAAACCAAAAATTGTCCAGATATAATTTTTAATTTTTTTTACTAGTGGGTGCAGGACACTATAGTTCATTTATATAAAGTGAGGATAGCAAAATAAACTAAACTGTGATATATTATACCCAAAAATTCTTCATACAGTGGACTACCATTAAAATTGAAACAAATTTGTGACCAAAAATTATTCAGACCGAGTCTGGGAAAAAATTGAAGTTCAGGTTTGCATGAACCTGGATGACAGCATGCCCAGGAGACTATATGCTGTCATTAAGGCTAAGGGTCGCCCGACTAAGTATTGATAGTTGTGTAAATATTGACAGCTGTATGAATAATTTTTGGTTTATTGTAATCCATTACATACCTTTCTATCAAAGTTATCTAACATTATCAAGCTGAATTTGTTCTGACACAGTTTAACTCTGAGTTATTTTTTTATTACCATTTTCTAAACTATAGTGAATAAACTGTGATAATGTGAGAAATTTTGAAGGTGTCTGAATAAATTTTGGTTTGACTGTATCTATTTGATAAATTAAGTTAACCAACTAACATTATACATACTCTTTTGGTTTCTGTACCCAATATTTAAAAAATTTACAAATGCAATGAAAATATTGGTATCGGTACTCTGTATCGGCAAGTACCAAAAATAAAAGTATCGGTATCGGGCGAGTACTGGAAAAAGTGGTATCGGTGCATCCCTAGTTATAAGGTTTACATATGACATATCGGCCATTCATTGTTAGTCATCTTTTACACAACAGGTTCCCATTTGACCCAAAAATTAACTAAGATTAAGCCTAGATTAATATGATATCATTGAGTTTAAACTAATTATGGGAACATCTTTGGGTTTAAACCAAAATGGGTAAATAATATTTACATATTACACTTTTCAAATGAGAAGTAAAACACACTGGAAGTTGTGTGTGTCTCTCACACTTCAGTAAATCGCAACTTATGTTTTGTTTCAGATTGACGTCACAGGCCACAGAGGAAGATAAGTGGTAAGGGGAATTCTCATGTCCTCTCTTTCCATAAATGACATATTACGTCACCCTAGATTAACCCCTGAAACACTGTCCAGCCTCATAGATTGAGGAATAAATCCAAGGTCACGTAGAAATGGAGTATTTAGTAAAATGGTACAGTTTTACATTACTTTATAAAGTAGTAAAACCAAACCTTCAAGTCTGAAAAGGTACATTTTTAAAGGCAAAAACCGTCTACAAATCACACTAGCCCTATAGTTTCCCTCCCAGTTTTAGCTGCAGTCTTGTGAGTGGAGTGTAGTTGTAGCATATGATCGGTCAGGAGCCCATATGGGCGGCAGCAGCAGGGACTGAGGCGTTGTGTGTCCGCCCAGATGGCATCCAAGAGAGTGTAGCCTAATGAAGCCTCTGACAGGAGCTTGTGATTGCTATTTCTGCTCTGGCACTGACTGCAGTTACGCATTGTACAAGTCATCTGTTTGGCTTGTAAGTGTTTGTGAGAATAGCTTTGTAAGTTCTTCGGCTGGGGTCCTAGCTGTCAGAATAATTTTCTGCACACTGTAAAGTATTTCGGCATGGACTGAACCGAGCCTCTTGCTCCCCCTGCTGGAAGTTACAGATAATGATTTCTCAGAATTGTTAAAGGGGTCATATGATGCGATTTCAATTTTTCTTTTCTCTTTAGAGTGTTACAAGCTCTTGGTGCATAAAGAAGATCTGTAAAGTTGCAAAGACTAAAGTCTCAAATCCAAAGAGATATTCTTTATAAAAGTTAAGACTTGCCCATGCCCTCCTAAAACGCCTCGTTTAAACACGACCCCACATGTCTACCTCACTGTGTGGGAAGATTTGCATAACGCCGCCCAAATGTTCACGCAAAGAAAGAAGGCGTAACTTTTATTCTCGCTGTAGTATTGTTGCCGCCGCCACCGTGTTGTGGATATACTGTGTGTTTCATTGTGAAAGCGAAACTACTTTGTTTGGCCTTCCAAAAGAGGACGATAGCCGCTTTGTCATGCCTAGAGCTGATCCGTGCTGGTCGCTGAGGAAATACATCAACTTTGCGCTGTCAATCGCCGGATCGGCTTTCACCGTGGACGAAGCAGAGTCCAGCCCGGGGTCGTCACATGTGGTTGCAGCAAGCCTCCTTTGTCGAATCCGCCGGGCGCCGCTCAAAGCGAAAATATTTTGTTTGGCCTTCCAAAAGAGGACATAATGTTTCTATAAAGTGGGGCAGTTCCAACTTTGCAAGGACAGTCTGGCGCTTTTGACTCATAGCCTGTAAGAACGTTTTTTTTATATTTAAAGAATTTGCCACTGATTATTCAAACGCGAGTTTGAGCAGTGTAGAGTAGCGCTTATTGTTCGTCATTTCTCCGATCACAAATGCAGACAAGGTTTTATGTTTACGCGGCACAATACGCAACGCAAAGCGTAAAAACACAGTATAAGTCATTACAATCAGTAAATATGTCCCCACTGGATGCAACAAATGCCTCGTTTGTAATGGGTTTTATTGGTTTTGTCTCGTCGCACCGGGCACATGGAAACCATAGACTGTATGATGGAAACACAGTATGGTAAGGGGCGTAACATTTCTGTCACACGCTTGAGGTATTCAGCCAATCACAACACACTGGATAGCTGGCTAATCAGAGCACACCTCGCTTTTCAGACCGATGAGCTTTGTAAAAATCGATGAAAGGCGGGGCATAGAGGAGAAACAATGATGTACATTTTGTGGAAAATAATGTTTTTTTTTACTTTAAACCACATAAACACATTGCATTACACCAAATACACAAAATAATGTTCTTTTTAGCAACATCATATGACCCCTTTAAACTACAACAGTGAAACTTAGTTTAAGTCAAAGACTGAATTAGAAAAAAATATATATATACAGTGGGTACGGAAAGTATTCAGACCCTCTTACATTTTTCACTCTTTGTTATATTGCAGCCATTTGCTAAAATCATTTAAGTTAATTTTTTTTCCTCATTAATGTACACACAGCACCCCATATTGACAGAAAAACACAGAATTGTTGACATTTTTGCAGATTTATTAAAAAAGAAAAACTGAAATATCACATGGTCCTAAGTATTCAGACCCTTTGCTCAGTATTTAGTAGAAGCACCCTTTTGATCGAATACAGCCATGAGTCTTTTTGGGAAAGACCCAACAAGTTTTTCACACCTGGATTTAGGGATCCTCTGCCATTCCTCCTTGCAGAGCCTCTCCAGTTCTGTCAGGTTGGATAGTAAACGTTGGTGGACAGCCATTTTTAGGTCTCTCCAGAGATGCTCAATTGGGTTTAAGTCAGGGCTCTGGCTGGCCCATTCAAGAACAGTCACAGAGTTGTTGTGAAGCCACTCCTTCATTATTTTAGCTGTGTGCTTAGGGTCATTGTCTTGTTGGAAGATAAACCTTCGGCCCAGTCTGAGGTCCTGAGCACTCTGGAGAAAGTTTTCGTCCAGGATAACCCTGTACTTGGCCGCATTCATCTTTCCCTCGATTGCAACCAGTCGTCCTGTCCCTGCAGCTGAAAAACACCCCCACAGCATGATGCTGCCACCACCATGCTTCACTGTTGGGACTGTATTGGACAGGTGATGAGCAGTGCCTGGTTTTCTCCACACATACCGCTTAGAATTCGTCGCACCGGGCACATGGAAACCATAGACTGTATGATGGAAACACAGTATGGTAAGGGGCGTAACATTTCTGTCACACGCTTGAGGTATTCAGCCAATCACAACACACTGGATAGCTGGCTAATCAGAGCACACCTCGCTTTTCAGACCGATGAGCTTTGTAAAAATCGATGAAAGGCGGGGCATAGAGGAGAAACAATGATGTACATTTTGTGGAAAATAATGTTTTTTTTTACTTTAAACCACATAAACACATTGCATTACACCAAATACACAAAATAATGTTCTTTTTAGCAACATCATATGACCCCTTTAAACTACAACAGTGAAACTTAGTTTAAGTCAAAGACTGAATTAGAAAAAAATATATATATACAGTGGGTACGGAAAGTATTCAGACCCTCTTACATTTTTCACTCTTTGTTATATTGCAGCCATTTGCTAAAATCATTTAAGTTAATTTTTTTTCCTCATTAATGTACACACAGCACCCCATATTGACAGAAAAACACAGAATTGTTGACATTTTTGCAGATTTATTAAAAAAGAAAAACTGAAATATCACATAGTCCTAAGTATTCAGACCCTTATCTCTGTGTGGCATAATTTAGTTCCTTGTGAAGCTCCTTGTGGGTTTGTTTTACTTCCCTATTTGTGACCATTTTATACAGACAACCACCTATTTGTAATCTCCTTTATATTTTGAAGAGACACATACCATTCAGGACTCAAAGCTAAGGTAATTTTTTTTTTTTTTTTTTTTCTACTGGCCCTGCCACAAATAAATAAATAATAGCTGGTTTTGTTTTTTAATAATGTTGTCAAAATATCAAATGTTGTCAATTCTCGATTCCAGTTTCGATATCACAGCAAAAACTACTAACTATTATAGTTTAAACATTAGTAAAGGCAAGTAAACAGTCAGTAATAAAACAAGAAGAACAAATTACAAGCAATAGAGCAAATACAATAAAACAAATTAAACAAACGGTGCTTTAAGTTTTTTCAGGTAGGTCTAACACTAGTATGCAGAGTAAAGAATTATTAAAGAAATTATTTAAGGTAGTCCATTCAAAATGAACACTGCTTTGTTTTCACTGAATTAATATATTTTCCAATTTTATACTTGCATACATGCAGAACAGCCCGGCATAAGAACAGTTTCTCATGAACGGTTAACTTGGCAATAAACATGTAATACACAACAATATCTATATGTTTATTTATTAAACACACCATACTTCTTATTCACATTTCCTTGCATTTGTACATATCATACCTGTACACACAAATACCATCTATTGTCTATTTAAATATTTGTTGTATATTATTATTTCCTATTCACTTCCTATTCATATTTTTATTATCTGTGTCTTGTCATTGTAATCTGTTTGTGCTGTGGAACCAAAACAAGTTCCTCGTATGTGTAAACATATCTGGCAATAAAGCTCTTTACATCCACATAAGCATAACTAACAATTCTGTCAGCTGTCCCAAGAGTCTTTCACGCTGACCTGGCCCATCAGGGAGTCATTATTGGCGAGCCCCAACACAGATTTTGTTCTCTCTCTCTCTCTCTCACCCTGCAGTCAGCAAGGCTCTGGAACCGAGGCAGCGTCCGACAAAGCCTCAGCTACCATTGAGCGCTGGAGAACAGGCAGACGGGTCGTCTCCTCCCGTACGGGGCAGTCAGTCCAGTGAGGGCTCAGATGGCACCACTGCCCTGGTCACGTTACCCCCTTACAGCATTCCAGCAGCACAGGGCACAGACGGTATCAGCCGAGAGTCCGAGACTGGTGAGAGATGCTTCGCAAATCATTCCTGTCAAGTGTCTGTGGTCTGCTTTTACAAGCTTTCCTCCTTCAAATCTTTTTTGTTATTTTTGGGATTGTCAGTCATTTAAAGATTTAAATTAAATTAATTACATGATATGCTAATTCATAATCAAACTGATCATGTAAATTTGAGTATTGACTGAGAAAAGCCCCCCAGTGAAGTTCAGCCATACTTATTTTCTTGGTGACATTTGTTAACATTAGTTAAGTATGTTAGTGAACATGAACCAACAATAAAAAGGTTTTCATTTTCATAAAAAGTTTTTCACAAAGAATGAAAAACATTTGCTAATACATTATAAAAAAATCTAAAGTTGCATCTGTTAATATTATTTAATAGACCTGAGTAAACATGAACTAACAATTAAACAGTGAGTTGTACATTTATTAATGTTACCAAGGATGAATAAATACTATATTTAAATACAAATAAATACTGCATTAAATAATGTTAACTAATGGGACCTTATTGCTCTTTAATGTCTTCTGTCTTTTTCTCCTCTTTTTTTCTCCACTGTCATCGTCCCTCTCATTGTTATCTGCCCTTAATGATTCCTCTTTCTCTCCTTTCCTTGCACCATATTTCCACTTATTTTCCTGCAGCTGTTTGCAAAAACGTATAATCTTATTTCTTGACTCAAGATTTGAAAAAGGTCTAGTTTCTAAGGGAAATTACCATGGTTACTAAACAGATAGGATAGGATTCTAATTTAGATGTTTAGTATTTAGATGTTTTTATTTGTTTGCTTTGTCTGAGCTATGTCAGTGCTCTCCTGGTTATCAGGGTCATGGCTCAAATCAGAGAATAATCGGCCTGTTTTACTTTCTTTTTTTTTTTTTTCTTCTTTTTTTTTACTTTACATTTTAATTGGAGATGGTCAAATTGGATGTGCCCACATTTAGAGAGAGGGATTTTGTTTACGAGCCTCAAATGGAGACTTCATTCATTGTGTGCATAATTGTAACATTTTTTTGTTTGTTTGTTTTTGTTTCTGTTTAAACTTTTAAAGGTGGGGTAAGCGATTTCTGGTAGCCAATGTTGACATTTGAAATCACCAAAACAAACACGCCCCTACCCCAAAAGGGTCTCGCTCCTATTTTGATAGCTCCGCCCCACACATACGTACGCAACCCAGGCAACTATTAGTTCTGTGAAACAAAGCCAAACCAATGTTACACCGTGTCTAAACCAGACGCGAGTGACGCGGCGCGACAAAATACTATGGAACTCATTATAATCAGTGATGCTGTCTACACCATATAAATATATATATACATATCTATGGTCTACACTGGATGCGGCACGACACGACAAATCCCCGACAGAAAACTGCTGCTGCGTTCTATTCATGATGTATTGACACAAATTTCAAATGATTTTCAACGGTCACTTTGTCGCGTCCAGTGTACTAGACAGACTTTAGCTGTTGCGGCACAGACACAGTGTTACTCACCTATCGAGAAGAAACAAAGCAACCTCGGCGTCCGATCGCAGGCCTTCCGCTCCTTGAGTTCTCTCCAGTGCTGGAAGCTGATCCGATATTTACACGGGTCCTACTTCTTGCCTTATTGCCTTAAGCCTTCTTTTGTTCCGCAGACGTTTTCCTCTTTTGTTTTTTATCCGCCATCTCTATCTTTCTGTCGCTCGGCTCGCTAATGTCCATCCTGTGCATTGAATGCTCTCTCCTCCATATCATGAGTAGACACGCCCCTTACTACTGATTGGCTACAAGTTTGTTTTGCTTGTCGGCCCGAATCAGTTTTCTAAAGCGTTTTTGAAAAATCGCTTACCCCACCTTTAATAGTAAAAGCCCAGCAAAGGCCAGTTTCAAGTTGTCTGCTTCTATTCAGTACTGATTTCAAGAGCTTTTCATTTTCTGACACACTCACTCTCTCTCTCTCTCTGGCTGTGGATTAGGTGGAACTCCTTCTTCTGCACTTCCCAGACTGGGAGACGGTGTCATCCCGGGAGATTCGCAGGACTCGTCCTCTTCAAATACTCACTTTGACTTCAGCCCCTGTACACTGGAGCATCTACAGGAGGAGGAAGCTGAGACAGAAAAGTGAGTCAAGTGATCACCATCCAGGCTTATATCAATAAAATCACATTTTCACACTGCACACAATCCAGATTTATCAAATCACATCTGTTTTCCATTTGCTCAGTCTCTGTCTATTGCATTCTGAATGAGACTATAATCTGACATTTCATACTGACTGGATTTTTTATATTACATTAAAACCACATTTAGATATTGTTTAAGATTTCTGTTGTCAGATTTTGTGCAACTTTTTGCTGTTCAGACTACAAAACCTGAAAGTGGTTTGTTTCAGTCTACCAACACTACCATTAAAAAGTTTGGGGGCAGATTTTTTATTTTTTTTAAATTAATACTTTAATACTAATACTTTTTTTTTTTTTAGCAAGGACACATTAAATTGATCAAATGTGACAGTAAAGACATTTACAATGTTACTAAATATTTCTATTTCAAATAAATGCTGTTCAAATAAACAGAAATGTCACAGTTTCCACAAAAACATTAAGCAGCACAACTGTTTTGAATATTGATAATAATAGTAAATATTTCTGAAGGATCATTCAGCTTTGCAATATATAAAATATATTAAAATGGAAATTATTTTAAATTGTTCACAATAAATGTAGCTCTGGTGAACATAGGAGGCTTCTCATAAAAAAACAAAAAATGTACCGACCACAAACGTATAAATAGTAGTGTAAATAAACCTTAAATATCCATCCCTGTGCTGGGCTTAATTGTCACTCAAAAAATGCTTTTACATTGAATTTGTATTTTCATTTTAAGACGAGCTGTCGCTGTCTCATAATCAGGCTGTTTAGAGTAAGAGAGGTCTCATCTGTCTCAGTGGCCACGATACAGGCCTCACAGCTATTTTTATTCCTTAAGTCTCTGTAGTGATGATGTTTGAAACAAAGCTTTGCTCTGTGGTGCTCTGCTCTGTAAATTATCTTATTGGGACAGACAGAGAGAATAAAGCTTGTGCCCCATGACTTGGTACTCTTGAGAAGAGAAAGGGAACGTTGACAACATGCAGCTTTTGGGATGTTGGGCTTCTTACTACTGTAGGGTGACTTGAATGTGATTTACCTTACAGGACGCAGGACACCGGCACCCCCAGGTCTGACAAGAGGTGAGTGCTTCTTCCATCGTCAAACAGTGTGGGTTTTTCAGTGGTCAATGCTGATATCATTTCTGACAGCCATTTCAGACAATATAGGCATTAATGTGACAACACACACACACACATATATATATATAGTTCCTTAAGTCTCTGTAGTGATGATGTTTGAAACAAAGCTTTGCTCTGTGGTGCTCTGCTCTGTAAATTATCTTATTGGGACAGACAGAGAGAATAAAGCTTGTGCCTCATGACTTGGTACTCTTGAGAAGAGAAAGAGAACGTTGACAACATGCAGCTTTTGGGATGTTGGGCTTCTTACTACTGTAGGGTGACTTGAATGTGATTTACCTTACAGGACGCAGGACACCGGCACCCCCAGGTCTGACAAGAGGTGAGTGCTTCTTCCATCGTCAACCAGTGTGGGTTTTTCAGTGGTCAATGCTGATATCATTTCTGACAG